GGCACTGGCTGGGCATGAGGAGCCAGGGCTGTGCAGAGACAGACTGTAGGACAAAGCCCATGTACGATGGCTTGCAGGGCACCCTGGGAGCACTGTGGGAGAAGCAGTGCCAGACCCATCTTCCTCAAGGAGCTGGGGGGACTTCTGGGATTTTTTTGAATGTTGGGTGGAGGGAGAAAGCTTAATCCTTCAGGGATGTGTTTTTTTAAAAAATGGGGAGAGGAGCTAGAGGAGAAGGCAGGACAGGCAGTGGAGTGGGGAGAAAGCAAGACAGTGAGGCAGTTGGTCAGAGTCACAGCTGCTGCCTGGCATTCAGCAATGTTTCCATCGACATTTGCAGGGCAAGTGGACAATGAGGGGTTAAAGCCAGGGAAGAGATGAGGGGTCACGTGAAGAGAGCCCCACCAAGTACCCGGTTCTGACAGTGATCTAGTCTAGATTCCAGAAGAACACCGGAGACAGGCAGAACGGCAGGACGCAGCGCCTGATTTAGTGAATAATTTGTACAGTCCCACGGGTTAAGGTTTTCTATTAAGCTATCTATGCTGCTAATAATTTAGCTGAAAGATGTGTTAGATACAGCATTTGGGGAAAATGGAGTACCCATCTCCGGGGATAATGACACTGTGAAAGCCATATTATTTCTACTCCAGAGAACAATTTTAAGCCTCTGCTAATAGATTAAGCTACAAGAGTGATCATTTTGAAGAAAGAGACTGGTTGAGAATTACACAGCCAGCTGTAGTCTGATTAGGATGGCTAGAGAGCGATAATTTGATCCTATCAATCCATGACACGGACGCCTAAACCAGCTGAGGAAGGTCTCTGCACTTGGGGTCACACGGACTAAGGTCCCGCTTTTGCTACTTTCCAGCTGTTTGCCCTTCAAAGAGTCACTAAACCGCTAGGACAGTGTCCCCATTTGTAAAATGGAAACAGAAATGCCCAAGCCACACGTCATTGTAGGCGAGTGATTGGGATGAGGTATGTGAGCATGTGTTCAATAAGCTACAAGGGGCTGGTGGAGGCCTGGGAACAGAGGATGGGGATGGGGGCAGCGTTTATAGAAACCACAGAAGAGTGAACGGCGTGATCCTGTAACACTTGACACGCACGGCAGCGCGCTCTCACTATTCATCCTTTGAGGCAGCCTTCGCATGTTGGCTCTGTCAGATGGGGCATCTGCATGGGCAGCGTCTGCAGGGCTGGCGGAGTCACTCGCGAACACTCAGGAGAGCATCCGCGAGGCCCAACAACCGGCGATCTTCAGAAACCTGAGGTCGCTGTTAGAGATGTCATGGATACTCGGTAAAATGACAGTGCAGCAGCACGCAGCCCCGTTACTCCCGTGCTGACTGCGAAGACTGCTTTTGGCAGGATTTGCGTGAAATACCCACTTACCATCATCTCCATCACCTTTTCTGGTGATATGCGCCCAAAGCATCATGTTTGGAAACTGTTGTCCTCTGATAATTAGCAGTGGCTGCGTCTAGAGATGATTCTGTTGGACAAACCCTGGAGACTGAAAGTGGAAAAAAACCCAATGCATGGAGAAAGTGTTATCTTCAAATAGACTTAATACGTAGAAAAGGTACTAAGGGCAAATACATGCGAGTCTTTAGAGGGACAGTGAGAGAAGCAAAATGCTCAGGAAGTCTTCTCACGTTAGGCAAGTTTGGATTCATGGAGTACCCCCTCTTGGGTGACGCAGGGCCCCTCTCTGAAAACCTTCGATGTCATCCTTTGTAAAATAGAGGCTCAGTCTCTCAGCTGATGATCATGGCTCTTCAAGATTGGACTCAAACTTCATTTCAGGCCTCACCTACGACTTTTCCCCAACACACCCTCCCTCTTGCGACCTATACACTTGTTCACGCATCGTTAGAGAAATATCCCTGAGCACCGTGAGCGTGCAGATGAATGTGAGGACAGGAGCTCAGGAGTGAGGGCTGGAGTCTCGGGCTTAGCCAGGAGCAGAAGTGCCTGAGTGGCCTCAAGAAGAAGTCGAGGATGGAGACCCAGGGATTCTCCAGGCCTTGGGTGGGCAAAAGAGAAGAGCTGTGAACGACCCTGGAATCTGGGAGAGGCTTGTAACAGAGTCCAGTGGAGGGAAGGAAGGCTGTGGAAGTTGCCAAGAGGGCGTCTCAGGGAGCAAAGCTGCGTCATTGTGGGTCTGCAGTGTTGAATGGCAGAGAACGTTGTGGAGAGGTGAAGATGGAACTCTGCCCAGTGGGTTTGGCAACTGGGAGGAGGTGGCCGGCAGCCTTGTGCAGGCTACAGGGCACACGCCTGCTCTTGGCTCACGTCTTCTCTCTGCCTGCAGTGGCTTTTTTCACCACAGACTTGCTGTGGCCAGGCCATCTTCCATGATGTGGCCTCCAGACCCTGATGCATCAGAGTTATTAGTCCATCGTTGACCTTCAGTCCAAGCCGTTGGCCTCTCCTTGGGTCTTTCTGTGCCTGCGGGTGATGGCTACATCCCAGGTCGTGGAGAGACCTCCCGCTTCTTCCTAGGGAAGCCCTGAGAACTTGGGGCATGCCCACTGTGCTGCCATGGAAAGGGCAGCCGCAGCCCCTGTTCCTACAATGCCTAGCCGGGGCACTGTTCTCCTTGGCCTTGGCAGTAATTTCAGCCCCTGTCTATACTCACGCATTGTGGTGTTGGAGTAAAAAGGACAGGAATTGTTAGCCAGTGGAACATTTCTGTCAGTGGATGCTGCCTCTTTAGGTTTCAACTTCAGTGACAGTCACTACGTCCAAATAATGGCGTCACGTCCCAGAGTCGATGTTAAAGCTCATGTATGGGTTGATCGCACCATAGTTTTTGTGTGGTCTGTTTACCTGCAGTGTGGAGGGCTTCCTTGCACACATGAGGCCCTGAGGACCTGGGCATTAATCTTCCTCATCCCCTCACTCTTTCCTTTGGGTAGAATTTACTGACAATTAACAGGAGAAAGGATTTGTTGTGATTCCCTCCCCTTTCCAATCCTCTGTCAGGCACTCTCTTTCAAAGGGAAATAAATCAATATTTACTTCTAAAGTCCTGGTTCATGGTACATTTTCCCAGTTAAATGAAATTGAAACAAACAGTAAAAAGAGAAAATAAGAAAAGGTCTCAGTTCACTCTAAAAAAAACAAAGCAGGCTAAACGTATTAATAGTTTCCACTCAGAACAGCTTCCCAGGTCCTGGTGGATTCCATCAGCTCAAGTGAAAACTTCCTTCCGGTCCATCATGTTGGCGTCTCCAGAGCCCACCCCAGAGGAGCCTCTTCCATTTTTCCCTCTGAATCAAACATGACCCACCTATTGACACAGTCCTCCTTGCTCACAGCGACTGGAATAATCACAGGGTCAGAACAAGACCCTCCAAGGCAGTTGGGCCCTCCCCAGAGAGCACATGGAGGCTGACAGGGCAGGGAGTGGGGAACCACCCAAGGCCAGATGCAAGCAGAGAAAAGAATCAGAAGCATCACAGATGGATCTCGCAGAGCCTGCTTTAGCATGCCTGCCACTCTGCCATCTCCTGTGAATCATCGCTCCTCCTCCTCTGTCTGCCTGGAACCCATTCCCATGCCCCCTTGGGACCCAGGCCCTCGTGGCCACTCTGCCGGCCCTGCACTGGCCACCCCCGCCGGAGCCTTGCAACTCTGCAGCACAATGATGCTCTCTGCTTCATGCCTGTCCCATGAGACTTGGCCTTTTGGGGGACTGATTTTTCACCATACTGCTGCCCGAATGCCTGGTGTGGTATCTGGCACCTAGTTTGCTGTGTGCCAGGCATTGAGCTTGGCTCTGGGAAAACAGCTATGATCAGACAGGCACAGTCCTGCCTCGTAGAGCTTATAGTCTAGTGGTAGCTGATAGGATGACAGAAAGCTCTGTGGAATGAATGAATGAGTAATTGCCATGCCATAATACCTTCCAGATAGTAGGTGTTTAATAAAGTGTTGTTGAATGAAGGAATTGAAAGGGCAGTGATGTTATTAAGCACCCACTTTGCAAGCAGAGTCTCCTTTAATTCTCCCAGCATTCCTCTGAAGTAGACATTTGAGTGTCTGCTTTACAGATGAGAAACCTAAGGGTTGCAGGGAAAAGTGCATCTCCCAGGCCTCAGAGCTAGTCAGTGGTGGCACTGATGTTTGAAGCCCAGTTCGTGTAGAACATGGCTGTTTCCAACTTGCCATTCAGACCCACCTGGAAATGCATCAGTCTCTCAGGCATCCTTCTGGGAACCGGAGGACTCTCTCTTTCTCATGCTTAACAATTCCGGGCCCCTTTGCTTTCCTCCTGGGTTTGTTTTTTAACCCTTCATTTATTTTTGCAGCGGCTCTGGAGTCTCAACTCTTTCAAAGTCTTTCCCATGTCTTTTGCTTCTCTTCTTAAGATCAAAGACAGTTGATATTAAAAACAGCCCAGAGCTGACAGAGTCAGGGATGTGGGGCGCTAGCACCAGCTGGAATCTGGTCTTGCCTGGAATCTGCCATCTTGAAGCTACAGAGAAAGGCCTGGCGGTAGAATTCACCAGGTCCCATCCACTGCCGGATGCCCCAAGGACTCTCTTGCCTGACTGTGTGGCAGTGAGTTTCTACCAGCAGGCCTCGACCTCAGGTGTTAAGGCATTCTTGTTGATGGACAGTGACACCTGGGGACAACCAGGACTGCAGGGCATCTGTTCCTCCCCAGGATGGTGTAGATCATCATATAGGGATGAGCTTCCCGAGTGTGTGACAGGTAGCGAGCCCAGGATAGACCTAGTGCTTTTCTCACTGCCAAATGGACCAGCTGTAAGTTTCCAGGGACCTCACCCTCTTGAAACTGTTGCAGTAAATAACCCCCACGGTGCCTTCAACCCTCATTCTCTAAAAACCCCACATCTCCTAGAAGACCAGGAGGTTTGAACTTGGTTTCACCATTTGCCCCGTCAGCGGCAGTTGTGACTTTGTCGTTCGGCTGGGCCTGGAAGTAGGACCTATGTGACCTTTCTCCTGCCCGCCCACAGGTCACCGATGAGGAGCCCAGCGCCAACCACACGGTCATGATCCAGGAGACCCTCCAGCAAGCCTCCGTGGAGCTGGCCGAGCAGCACCACCTGGTGGTGTCCTCCGACGACGTGGAGGGCATCGAGACGGTGACCGTCTACACGCAGGGCGGGGAGGCGTCGGAGTTCATCGTCTATGTGCAGGAGGCCATGCAGCCCGTGGAGGAGCAGGCTGTGGAACAGACAGCCCAGGAACTCTAAGGGACACGCAGTCTCGGACGGCCTGGAAAGGACAGGGCCGCCCGGCTCTGCGGGCACCCAGGCGGGGAGGCCATGGGGCCACCCGGCCCGTGGAATGGGCTCTCCTCTGCCCTTCCTGCCCTGCAACCTGATGGGACTCTCCTCTTTCTGCTCCGGGTAGGCAAGGCAGTCGGCATCACCAGCAACACAGGACCCCATCCCCAGTGTAGACACATACCCCCTCACCCTGTAGTCATCCTTCCAGAAAGCTCCCCCGCACATGCCCCCACCACATCACCCCTTGCTTTAAGATGCAGACAGAGACTTCCAGTCCCCATCAGCATCTTCTCTGAATCACAGCCCCCTGCTCCTCCACCCCATCTAGGTGCCGAATCTTCATCTGGGACCGCCGTGCAGTCGGGCGAGAGGGAGACAGCCATCACAGAGAAAGTGACCTTATGGGTTTTTAATCACCGCTGGGCGGGGTGGAGGGGGAGAGTTTTCCTGGCTTTATCTACAAAGTCCCACCTCCCTGAGTATCAAAGGTGCTTAGTATCCAGTGAAGTAACTATGATTCACCCCATCACAGTGTCTCGTCTTCCCATCTTGGAATTCTTTTGCTTTTCAGAAAAATGCACTTTTCACTATTCACCTCCCATTCTAAGGAGGTGAGATGGACGGAATAAAAGCGTTTCCTGCCCTGGTATGTCAGTTCCTTGGTTAGGCGGGGGACTTAGCATTTCCCCTTCCCAAGCCGACCCTTTGGAGCTGGGGCCCACCCAGGACCACGCCATCCGAGACCCAGGCCCTTAAACACAGGCGATGATGCTTTTCCCCCCGCTTAAGCATTTAGGTTTGCTCTGGAAACTTGTTGAGGTTAACCATCTTACCTTTCGTTTCTTGGCACGCAGCACTTGATTTGCAGCCAGCCAGGAAGGGGCCATGCCCTTGTCTCCACTTTGTATCTGGGAGGAGCAATAAACTGACAATCAGAAGCCTTCATGACCCAGCACTGTTTGACTGAGATTTCTAGTCTGGGTGCTCATGATCAGTTCTGCATGTTTTGAGCCCCAGCTGTATGCACAGTGTTGGGGCATAGAGCTGAGTCTTTCTACACCCTGCCTTGACCTGGGGTCTCTTGACGTCTTTGCCCATCTGACTCCCTGAGGTCAAGATTTATTTATTTTTATTTTTTTATTTGTTTAAGTTTCCAAGCAGTTTATTTAGAAAGTAAATAAGAGAGAAAGAAGGAGAGAGAGAGAGGAGATTCACCTCCCCAAGGTAGGGGAGGGGGTCAAAGCTAAGAAAACATGGCGGCTATAGCTCCAAGAGCCACATGGAGACAGCAGAGTTTAACAAAACAATGGCCAAGGTCATGATTTATTTCCTCAGAGAATCCTTTCTTCCGGTGAGATCTCCTGCAGGTATATAAGCGTATGAATGAACAAGCAGATAAAACAATAACTGCTCTGTTGAGAGCTCACTGGCCCTCCTGTCATCAGCCCTCTCACCCCAGCAGGACCCTCTATGGGGAAGCTTAAAAGCTGCTGCTCTGATCCAAGCAGAAAAGTGACTTCTTACCCTAAGCAAGGAAGGAAAGACCTTTCCCACTGGGATGAGCTGGGGAAAGCTTCATGGGGGAGGTGGCCTGTGATGGGGTCTTGGAAACTCCATGGGCTTTAAAGGTGTGGGGATTCCGGTGGGAGGGAGCAGGAAGGGAATTCCAGAGAAGAATAACCCTGACTGCAGGGGTGGGGCAGGGTGGGGAAGGGACATGAGCTGTGAGCATTTTCTTTTGGGTGGAGGTAACCCTAAAGGAAAGGGCAGGCCATCCGCCAATGGCCAGATCCTGGAAAAGCAGGGATGCCCGATGATGGTTGTTGACGTGATTCTGTAAACCGTGGGGAGGCAGTGACGGTTCAGAGACCCGGGCGAGGAGGTCTGGGTGGTCCTCCAGGAAAAGACATCTTGTCTGCGCATCAGGGGAGTCTGTGTTGAGATGGGTGAGTGTCCGGGTTGCAGGCAGAGGACCTGGTTTCAAACCCAGCTCTGACACTCCTCCTCCAAGTGGCCTCGCCGTGCTGCCAGACCTCTGAACCTTGGGGTACTCTTTTCTGAGATGGGTCTGATGATAATCACCAACTCTGAGATGACTGACAGGACTGAGTAAGCCCCCGTCTGCCCCACTCCCTGTAAATATCAATGATCGCTTGTGTTCCCGGGCATGGAAGGCACCAAAAAACAGCCCTCCAAGTCCTCCCTCCCAGAGGTGGTGACGTAATGGAAGAAGGGGCATAGCCATGTACCAGGAGAAGAGTCACCATGTTGGCTTAGTGCGCTGAGTGGGGCTGGAGGGAGGAGCCCACCCTTCCCAGATGCACGGACTCTACTTCCGTTCCCCCGCCCGCCCCTCCCCCAGATGACCAGAAACATGGAAACACAGGAAGCCGAGGAGTTGTTGGTGTCCCGGCTGACCTTGTCCTTGTGTGTGGGGGCGGGCGGGAAGGTGTTCTCCACGGTTCTTTTTGGGGGGCTGATGCTGAGATCAGAGGACAAGTCTCTAAGCCACACAGTCCATTCACGTGACCATAAGATGTGGCTGGTCAGTGCTCCTCCTCTCCTGTTTTTTGACCTGACTTTTATGATGTGCCAAGCAAGGTGAAAGCTTGTGTTGAAAAGCTGAGTGGACATTCCCCCTGTTTTTTGCTTGTTCTGTTTTAGAGACAGGATCTGGCTCTGTTGCTCAGTCTGGAGTGTAGTGGTGCCATCATACCTCACTGCGGCCTCCAGCTCCTAGGCTCAAGATATCCTCCCACTTCAGCCTCCCAAATGGCTGGGACAACAGGAATGTACCACCGTGCCCAGCTAATTTTTGTATTTTTTATAGAGACGTCTTATCAGGCTGGTCTTGAACTCCTAGTTTCAAGCAATCCTCCCACCTCAGCCTGCCAACGTGCTGGGATTACAGGCCTACCACCCTGTTTTATACTGTGTGTTAAGTACCTGCGCTGTGCCCTACTAGGCTCTTTCACGGGCATCGTGGTAGTCTAATATCCCATCCCCCTTGTCTTAATAAGATTGAACCATTGGTGGTTCTACATGAGGGGGACCCCCCCCAGAAATGGAATTTATTTTTTAAAAACTGTGTGTGTGTTCTTACATGTTTAAACTTCAGTCACCTTCAAAGTACTCTTTGTTTGGTGCAATACACCTGTTGAGATGCTTTTTCCGCTACTCAGAACAGTTTCTGGACTTGTGCATTTTGATGCCTTTTAGTGCGTCTGCTATTTTTTGTTTCACCTCTTCCATATCTACAAAACGTTTCCCTTTGAGGACTTTTTTCGTCCAGGGAAACAAACAAAAAGTCACTCGGGGAGAAATCGGGTGAGTAGGGGGGTGGGACCCAGAGGTCATGCTGTTTTTGGTCAAAAACTGCTGAACGCTCAGCATGGTGCAGACAGTTGGGTGGTTTTAGTGTAAGAACCAGTCACCTGCTTGCCACAACTTGGGTCGTTTGTTTCTGCAAATCATGATGCAACCTTCTCAAAACTTCCAGATAAAATCTTTGGTTGGCCGTTTGATCTGGAGGAACAAATTCCAAGTAGATTGCAAGGGGCCTGCCCTCCAGAAAGAAAAAATAATTCCGGTTTTTTGGGGGTCCCCCATCATAGAATTCACTCTGTGCTAGGTGTATAGGTGTTCTCATCATCACAGCAACCCAGTGAGTTGGGTGCTGTTGTTAGAATTTTATTGATGGGCAATGTTAGCACAGAGAAATTAAGTGACTTGCTGAAGGTCACACAGGAAGCGGCAGAACCAGGAACCAAGCAAGATCTGTACTTGTAACCCACATGTCTTCTGCTAACTCTCTTCCTTATACAGCTGAGAAGACAGTGGCTTGGGAAATAACCTGCCATGGGGACCACTTAATAGTGATGCATCTGGGACTTGAGCACAAGTATGAGGTCCCGGTTCCTTCAGGCACTTGTCTTCCTCGTGCTGTGCTGCCTCCCTGTCAGCCCTGACACCAGGGATCCAGAGCAGACACAGGGTGTGGGGCTTAGAGGCAGGGGGCCAGGTCTGCTACACAGAGCTACAGTCTGGGGCCTACATTGCTGAGACGAAAGCAGGTGTGAGAGGACTCAGCACGAGAACAGGAGGCCCAGGGCCAGCCCAAGGTCAGAGACAGTCAAGGCAGGAGACTGTGCTCTGTGGCGCTTGGGGCTGGGAGGAAGCCAGGGGAGCATTCCGCGGGCCTAACCCTGGAAGACCCTGGCACTTCCCACAGGTACCCGTCAGCCTACCTGGCAGCGGTGCTGACTTTTCTCTCACATCCATGCGGCTTTGCCTCTGTCCTCCCAGCCAGGTGGCTTCGCCTCTGTCCCCGCATCTGGGCGGCTTCGCCTCTGTCCTTGCAGCTGGGTGGTTTCACCTATGTCCTCATATTCGGGTGGCCTCACCTCTGTCCCCACAGCCAGATGGCTTTGCCTCTGTCCTTGCCTCTGTCCCTGTATCTGGTGACTTCGCCTCTGTCCCACAGCCAGGCGGCTTTGCCTCTGTCCCCGCTCCTGGGTGGCTTTGCCTCTGTCCTCATAGCTGGGTGGCTTCACCTCTGTCCTCACATCCAGGCAGTTTCGCCTCTGTCCCCACCTCTTTCCCGCAGCTGGGTGACTTTGCCTCTGTCCCCACAGCCAGGTATCTTCGCCTCTGTCCCTGCAGCCTGGTGGCTTTGCCTCTGTCCCTGCAGCCAGTGGCTTCTCCTCTGTCCTAGCAACTGGGAAGCTTCACTTTTGTCCTTGCCTGACTGACTCTGCCTTCAGCAGATGTGTCACCCTGGACAGACTTGGTCCCCTCTCCCCCATCAGTGGGATGGGTATGATAATAATCACCACAAGGCACAAATAGTGTCCTGCACGACAGGGACTCTGCAAGGGGCTTTCTGTAGATTCTGTATTCGGTCTCAGGACAGCACTGGGAGGTATGGATATTCTTACCCAGTGTGTAGATGAAGAAGTTGATCAAATAACTCCAGAGTCAGGGAAATCCCTGGAATATTTGCGGTGTGCTTAGCACACTGTTAGGTGGAGGGGTGGCTCCTGTTCCCGCTAGTAGCACTTGCACATGGACGTGACCTTCTAACTTCGCTATGCAACTTTGCCACGCAAGTTCAAACTGCACTAGTTTGTCTTGAATTCTGCGTTTTTTAGGAGATGCTCACTCATTTTATAACCTGTATCTACAGGCCTAATTTAGCAAATTAATTTTTCTTGTACTAAGTATTCAAAATCCATTAGCTTTTGTCACTGATGCTTTTCCCCCATTCTGTTTCGTCTTCCAAGGCTGGAGAAGAAAGCCCATTTGATTCTAAATCCATCTCCCCTCTCCACCCTTTTTAAAATCTCAAAATGAACTGTCCACCTTGCCCTTGGATGAAATCCAGGCTTGCATTCATCTCCCCCCAGAGGCAATGGTTTTAAGTTGTGGTGGGAAGTCTTTGGGAATCAATTAAGTAGACTAATACTTTGCTGGAGGAAAGACAGAAAGTGTGCTGAGGGGGAGACTTAATTTACCATGCATCACAAAATTTTCTGAGTAAATTATTTTCAAGTCAACTCAGCCCTTCTCTTAGCCATGACGGGGACACGTTTGGGTTTGATTTAAAAAACTCTAATCTATCACTGTCACCATTCCTGCTGTAAT